AAAAGTGTACCTTGACACCAATTGTTTTCTTGTATTCATCCTGTGTTAGAATTATGTCTGAGTGAATGTTTTAGTTACGCACCACATGACAACACATACACACAAACACACTGAAATTCTTCATTTTGTTATGGCCAGCGGCTCCATGCAGCTGGAGCTCTAGATCAGAGATGGAGATGACGGACTCTCTCCACCTCGTGATGTTTTGTAATCTTTTTGTGTAAGGGGTTAGCCCAAAAACCTATAAATGTATTAGGCTCTGTGCTTCCGGGGCTCTTTTTTCCAGCAGCCTGCCTGTGGATGAATGGAGGAAGGAGCCACCCGGGTTGTGTTTTGTAATTTTACTTGTGGTTTAAATAAATCAGCACTAAAATGAAGAAAGACGGACTCCTTCCTTACTCAGTTCTGTCCAATAAAAGAACTGGGGTATTACAAGGTCATTGACCTTTGACGCCTATCGCTCTGTCCCGTGTGTAGCCCTTGGACTCTCTGATCACTGTATGGTCCATCTTATTCCAACCTACAGGCAGAAACATAAAGCTGCTGTTAGGTATTTTTAGTCAGACAGATATTGGTTAGATACTTTATGTATTAGAAATGTTTTAGAGTAGACAGGATGTCCAGCTTAGGCTGTTAAATGCTTAGTCTTTTTCATGAGTTACTGCAGGATGCACATGGTCAAGGATAACTAGATAGAAAAGTGGATGACTGTCATCAGACAGAATGTTTAATATTATTATTATTATTATGACGTGCATAACTGTAGCCATAGCCATAATATTTTCTTATGTTTAATGTTATGACATGTCACTAGAGGTCGTGTTAGAATATTTTTAGTTACACATCACATAATCAACAAACATTCACACATTGATTTTCATCATGTTTTGGCTACTGCTCGGGGCAGCTGCAGAGCTATCCCTGGGAGACACTGCGGCTTGGCGTCTCCTGTTAGTATGGAATTGACCCGAAGGGATATAATGTATAGGCCTGTTGTGGTTCAGGGTCTTTCATCTTTCAGCTGCCTGCGTGCATGTTGGAGGTGCAAGATACCTGAGCGTGTAATGTTAATTTTTACCTGTGTTCATTGAATAAATCAGCACTGTTTTGAAGTTACTTGGACTGCTTCGTCTTTCAGAGTTAGCATGGTAAAAAGTACCGGATACAACACTGGTATCAAAATGTTCAGGTTTTTCAGGACATTATGGCATGTATTCAACTTTGTTTTACAACTGTCATACTTTTGAAAATATTCAGCATTTATTCTGACATTTTTGCCCCATTCAAATGAAAGGGGAAATTCAACTTCAGCATAATTTCAGCTATCAAAATGTTCAGCTCTTCAAGGACATTCATGCTTCTTTTCAGAATTTTTCTAAACTTCATACCTTTGAAATATTTAGCTTTATTTTGAAACCAGAAAGACTCAAGCAGCTTCGTCATGCCAAAGAGGAGGCCTACAGAAGTGGGGATAGGACTCTGTACAGCCAGTCCAGGAACACACTGACAAGGGAGATCAATCCAATCCACTGTGCACCGGCCCCTTATGGATCCTCCTGCAGGTGGTGGGCCCACGGGAGGACGTTCCCACGTCGCTCTTTCGGGCTAACCCCGGCCAGGCCCCTGTGAGGGGAGGCCCGGCCACCAGGCGCTCGCATTCGAGTGTGTAGTCCCCTCCTGCTTTAAATTCTCCATCATCATCCCAGTCCCAAGAAAACCTCCATCAGTGGACTTAACGACTACAGACCTGTCGCCCTGACATTTGTAGTTATGAAGTCCTTTGAAAGACTAGTGTTGGCCCACCTGAAGGACATCATAGACCCCCTGCTGGACCCCCTGCAGTTCACCTACCAGGTAAACAGGTCAGTGGACAATGCAATTAACATTACATCCTGCAACACCTTGGCTCCCCAGGATACAGTCCTACAGAGGAATCATCGAGTCTGTTCTCTGCACCTCCACCACTGTCTGGTTTGACTCAGCAACCAAACAGGACAAGTACAGACTTCAGCAGACAGTCAGGACTGCAGAAAAGGTCATTGGTGTGAGCCTGTCCTCCATGGAGGACCTGTACACCTCACATGTCAAAAGGAGGGGGGAGAGTATCACTGCAGACCCCTCACACCCTGGACACAATCTGTTTGAACTCCTCCCCTCTGGATGGCGTTACAGGTCACTGTACACCAAGACAACCAGGCACAGGGACAGTTTCTTTCCCTGGGCTGTCACTCTGAAACCACAACAGTATGACTGGACAATAACCCTCAGTGCAATAACTGTAAATATATATTGTACAGATTATGCAGACCTGTACAGGTCTCTATTTTTAAGTACTCCATTTTTATTTCTATTTTTCTCATTTTACAGTAAGCATTCCTTTGTCTGTCTGCACCGTTTACTGCCTGTTTATACTGTTTAATTTGTTGCTTGTTAATACTGCTTGTTTTGTTATACTAGCCTTATGTTGGTTTACTGTTTACTTGCCCCTTGCATGGGGATATGTACATGCACATTGAAAGCCGATGGCAGATTCCTCGTGTGTCCGACACACCTGGCCAATAAAGCAGATTCTGATTCTGATTCATTTCTCACCACCAAATCTAAACTGTTCATCCTTGAGTCTAAGTGGACATACAGTATGTGCCCAATTTGAAGAAATTCCCTGTAGATGTTCCTGAGATATCATGTTCACAAAAATGGGCCAAATGCGAGATCACAGTGACCTTGACCTTTGACCACCAAAATCTAAGTAGTTCATCTTTGAGTCCCAGCGCATATCTATGCCAAATTTTGAATAAATTAATAAATTCCCTCAAGGTATTCCAACTATAAAAACCGTCAAAACCTGGCCTCAGGGTGTCTCACAGTGCCAGTGCCATGTTGCTCGTTTTGAAAAAAAAACAGCCATCAAGAACCTCAGTGACTACAGAACAGTCTAACATCAATAGTCATGAAATGTTTGAACTTGTTGTACAGCACATCAAAGCCAGCCTCCCTTCTACATTTGACCAACCCCAGTTTGCTTATAGGGCAAATAGATGCACAGTAGATGCCATTACTACAGCCCTCCACATAGCGCTGAGCCATCTGGAACACTCAGGGACATACTTGAGGATGCCGTTTGTTAATTATAGCTTGGCATGCAATACAAACATCCCAAGCATATTGATCAACAAGCTGCATGACCTTCACTTCTCCCCCACAACCTGCGCTTGGATAAAGGACAGAACTCTGAACTCCTCATAGGGCTGTTACATTACTAGTGGAGCATGTTAGTTTTATTGTTGCTATTTATTATTGATGTGATTGATGTATTTGTGATTTTATTATTTGTAATATTTGGTGCTTTGCTTGCACTTTAGCTTGCACTGTGTATAGTTGTAGCTTTTATAATTTCACTTTACTGGTACGATGACAATAGAGGGCATTCTATTCTATTCCAAATATTGTGTTCACAAGAATGGGATGTACCTGAGATAATTATGGCTTTGCCAAGTTTTACAGTATAAAAGGTAGTCAAAAGAAAGCTAGTCTGAGTTTATGTAGCAGTTACATGTTGTATAACCACAAGAAATGCCCAAAATATATCATGAGCTCAGATCAGCACAATTGTATGAACAAAAAAAGAAAAGAAAATTTGCCTGTTGTGTATTTATTACTGTACTGTACAGTATGAATTTTGTTCTCACACTTTCTTATAGCCAAATAACTAGTTATAGAGAGGAAAGTGAAAGTAGAAATACAATTTATACAAAGCAAGCAGCAGTAAATCCAACCCTTAGCACCACCTGTGTATGTACAGTATGAGCATGTTGGGGTGGTCTTCTATCATTTAAAGAAAAGCTTGTTTGCTGTGAATAATACACAAGGGGGGGCGGGGGGCATAATAATTAAATTGTATTGCTAAAAAAAATAAATAAATCACATTTATTTTCCAAATTGTTCAGCCCTAATGCAAATATATTTCCACAATGACATGAGATCTTCTTTGTAGTTTTTTGCTTGCTGGAAATGCATGAAAATGCTGTTTGTGGTGAATCTGTAACATGCCTTTTTGACATTATAGCAATAGTATACATTGTTTGTTCACATGCCACCTTTGATAGACATCCCTCTCAGCTAATCCTACTAAGACAACTAGCAGTAATAATGTTTAATATAAACAAGTTTATAAATTGTATTTAATGCTGTTTATTTTTTTTCTTGTTCTTTCACTTTTATTGTGTATTTTCTTTTGTAAAGGACTTTGTAACTGTGGTTTATATAAGTTATAAAGAAATAACATTTTACTTACTTACTTACTTACTACACAAAGTTAGATCAAGAAAAATGAGCTGTATTGTCCAAAAACATCAACTGATACCACAGGTTCAACTTAAACGCACTGAAACCTCCTCACACAATAAACATTAGCATTAAAAAACATTACAGTATTCTCATGTTGCAAGTATAATGTGTGTGTGTGTGTGTGTGTATACCTACTATATCTGTAGGGGTTGAAGCCTTGGGATTGAATGTGAGGTAAGTCCTCCGGGGCATAATTAACGTCCGCTGATTCTATTTGGATGTTGGCAGTGTAGGTCCTTTCCAGTGGGAATACATAAATGTGGAATGGAGATATAGACAGGTGACAAATTAAAACTAGAATTACTGTGTTGCAGTTCTATATCTCCACCAACCAGTCAGCAATGGGCTGGATGTGAGGTCACTGATCTTGACCTTTACCCAACAAAATCTAATCAGTTCATCATTGAGTCCAAGTGGACACTTGTGCCAAATGTGAAGAAACTCCCTTAAGGTGTTCCTGAGATACGGCATTGACAAGAGATGAATGCAAGGTCACAGTGGCCTTTGACCACCAAAATCTAATCAGATCATCCTTAATCATGCATGTGCACACATGCACATGTGTCATAGATATATTCTGGCACTTAAACAACACTACACTTCTGATTATACAAGTATGATTACAAGTAAGTCTATTGAAACTAAGACTAGACAAGATTTATGTAATAGGGATTTGGCCCAGGGACAGCCCAGTGGAGCGGTGCTTAGCGCTGTTGCCTCACAGCAAGAAGGTTCCGGGTTCAAGCCCTGGCTGAACCGTGTGTGTGTGTGTGTGTATGTATGTTTGTTGTTTACTCACATTTTCAAGACAGCAGAGGAACATATTTTAAGCTGATCCAGCTTTAAACGATTTAGAGTGTATATTACAACATTATACAAATGTTATACAGGGCTTGAAGTTTTACTCCTACCTGTCGACGGCTTTGAGGCAGTTGGTCAGATCACATTCTGACTCTAACATTTCGATGCAGCCAAGACACGTATGCCAATTTTCATGATCCCTGATAGTCACATGACAAAACACACAACAGTACTAGAGATGAGATGCTACAGTATAAACATGTCACAGAGGTCATTTGTTATGACTGTTGAGGTGAAGGTAAGGTTGCCACAGTATGAGATTTTTCACGATATGGTAACCGTCTCAGAAAATGTCATGGTTCCACAGTATTAGGGTATACCATATTACACAATTACTATTATTATCAGCTACACTGACCCTCAAACAAATGAAAACAGAGGGTATATTTTATTGCAAGTAAATATGACAGTTGATTGAGCTGGATTACAGCACTATTGACCTTGAAGAACAATAAGTTATAAACATCCACCTATTATCGATACCATTTATTCCTTATATGGTCACAGGCAGGCTGGAGCCAATCCCAGCTGACATTGGGCAAGAGGCAGTGTCTGCTTGTGGTTCCTAGAGTCCACAGAAGTAGCATGGGAGGCAGAGCTCCTCTCCTGTGGAACCAGCTCAGGACACCCTCTCTACCTTTAAGACTAGACTTAAGACTTTCCTTTTTGATAGAGCTTATAGTCAGATGAGGGTGCAAGCCTTCTAGGTTTTTTTTCCTCTTTGATGTAACATCTCTCCCCTCATGATGCATGGCTTGTACTGATGCTCGTTTGGGAGCATCAGTCTAATTTCCTGGTTTCCTCCCTCTTTGTTTTTTCTTTGTTCATCCATTTTCTAAACCGCTTAGTCCCAAACGGGGTCACGGGGGGCTGGAGCCAATCTCAGCCAGCTGCGGGGTACACCCTGGACAGGTCGCCAGGCTAACACACAGACGAACAACCACTCATACACACAAACACTCCTACAGGCAATTTAGAAACACCAATCAACTGCATGCGAAGAGACAGCGGCACTAAAGGAACCATACAGAATGGTTAATGAGCATGAAAACACATATCCTGATGCTGCTTTTATTATTCTGGGAGATTGTAACCACTACAATCTCAGGAAAAGCATGCCTAAACTGTATCAGTTTGTAACCTTTCCTACTAGAGGAAACAAAACACTGGACCAATGTTACAGTAACATTAGAAATGCTTTCTCAGCTGAACCTAAACCTCATTTTGGTAGATCTGACCACCTAGCAGTTAGTGCTTTTGCCTCACAGCGAGAAAGTTGCGGGTTTGCAACCTTTCAGTGCGGAGTTCGCATGTTCTCCTTATGCTGGGTTCTGTCCAGGTACTCTGGCTTCCTCCCACTGTCCAAAGACATGCGGCTTAGGTTGATTGGTGTCTCTAAATTGCCTGTAGGAGTGAATGTGTGCATGTGAGTGGTTGTTCGTCTGCGTTTTGGCCCTGCGATGGACTGGTGACCTGCGGCTCAAGGTGTGTGTTGACTATCCACAGTGGGATGAGGGGTTGTTGGAAAAAATATGGAGGCTAAGGATACTGCATGCCCAGGCACGTTTAAGCAATTTATCATACTAATATAAATTTGTATTCTAAATTTAATCTAGTTTTAAACCTTGCATTTAACTAAACTATTTGGATGAACTTCCTTAAATTTAAACTATTTGGTGAGAAACAGCCACCTTTTGTAAAATTCAAATTATCCTGAAGGCAGATGTAGGTGTATGTTGTAAAACAATAAACCTCTGAAGAGAGAGTAATAGGATGCCACTTCTTCCAATCTAGGTGTGAAGAGGAGTGATTTATACCCCCCCATAAGTCCCACCGACTCTTGACACATTACATTTGCCTAGATCAAAGATCCCAAACCCTAATTACATTCTTCAAAAGACCTTGCTTATACACGTTACATTTTAACAACGAAACATTTTATTATAGTTTTTATGATGGCATTATTGGATTTTATTAGGGTTTCCCATGGGTGGAATGGGACAGAAGGCCACCTGCATATCATATCTTATAAGAGAACATAGTGCTGTGTTTTTGGCTGCTGTGTATATAGGCCCATGAGCTAATCCCACTGCAGCTCCCAGCAAACTCCACAATGTCATCATCGCATTAGAGATGGCTCATCCTGATGCTGTTTTTATCACCATAGGTGACTCTAACCAGTGCAATCTACGGATTGTATTCCCCAAATATTACTGTTAGGTATTTTTAGTCAGATAGATATTGGATAGATACTTTATGTATTAGAAATGTTTAGTGGAGATAGGATGTCTAGTTAGACTGTTAAATGCTTAGGCATGCTTATGAGTTTCTACAGGGTACATCTGGTCAAGGATAACTAGAGAGAAGAGTTGATGACTGTCAGCAGACAGGATGTTTAATATTATTATTATGATGTGTATAACTGTAGCCTTAGCCATAATATGTTCTTATGTTTAAGTCACGACATGT